TTCAGGTCAGCTGTCTCTATGTGTTTCTGCAGCCTGGTCTTGTCCTCCCTCTCTGCATCTGGATTCTAGTTCTACTCAGTGTTTAGTTGTGGGTGTTTGCTTCTGTTTCCAACAGGTACTAGATGAGGGCTCCAAGATGGTGGATAAGTTAGTCGTTGATCTCATTATCAGGGAAGGGCATTTATGGTAGCCTTTCCACTATTGCTCAGATTGTTAGTTGGTGGCAGTCTTGTAGGTCTCTGGACATTTCTTTAGGTTCAGTTTTCTCTTCAAACCTATAATGGCACCCTCTTTTATGTTCTCTCTCTCTCTCTATCTATCTATCTATCTATCTATCTATCTATCTATCTATCCATCCATCCATCCATCCATCCATCCATCTATCTATCTATCTATATCTTTCTCTTTTTTGTCTTCTGTTCCTCTTCTGACTCAATCTTCTTAGTCCCACGTGCTTTCCTCTCCTCCCTTTCTCTTTCTCCTAGTTCCCTCTCCACTCACAGCCCCCCCCACTCCCCATGTGCTCTGGAGAACTTGTCCCTTCGCCCTTCTGTGAAGGACCTTATATGAATCTTTTAGAATCCACCTTGTATCCTAGTTCCTCTGGTGGTGTGAATTATAGGCTGGTGATCCTTTGCTCTAGGTCTAAAATCCATATATGAGCAAGTGCATACCATGTTCCTCTTTTTGTGTTTTGTCTACGAATTTAGTGTCTTTCCTTACTTTACTAAAATAAAGTCCCCAAATAAGAAATACTGGATCAAAGAAAGTGCATCAAAGGGCCACAGAATTAAAGGATCCCATTTTACCAACTTTTGCATGTTCAAAGGCTGCATAGCTTACATTCCTGACAACAGTGACCCAGAGTAACCATCACTTGTCATCTTTGCCAGTCTCTGTTGTGTTTTATTAAACTTTTTGTCTGCTTTATCTATTATCTTGCAGCTTAGATCACAATCTTCAGCAGCTGCTGTGGCCATCTGCTCCTCTGCCTCTGCCACAGAACTTTGCCTAGTGCCACTCACATAGTGCCAAGTATGTGAATTTCTATCCTCTACTTCTCTCTGGAGTTAAGAGCTGGATAAAGTACTTAGTCAATTTGAGAACAAAGGTTACAGTCTTGTCCTCAGTATTTCTGACTCGGGAGGAAAAGACCAAAGTATAGACTGTTGGCTGGTGTGTGGGACGTACACAAGGGAGCAGGTTTGAGAGAGAGCATTAGCTGGCTGGTTTCCAGGATCAGCTCTCCAGTGTGTTTGAAAAGGACTTTCTGCACTGCTGTCTGTTTCTCCTTTACAACTGGGTGTGGAGAGGATGGGCTCCAATTTACCATTCAGTCATGTAGTAGAATGAGTGGAATTTTCCAGCTGGTTGCTCTTCTTGGTGCTTGGCAGAGTTACAGCTTTGCCTTCTGGGAGCTGTTAGGCTGCGAGCCCCAAAGCTTAGCTGGCTGTCTCAGCAGGTCAGATTGTGGGAACTCTGTTTTGGTTGGCACAAACAGCCATGTAGTGTTTCACACCATAAATGCTGCTCTTACTTTCCTTGTGCTAGCCTCCCAGTAAACATACTGACCAATGGGGCTAAAGTAAGAAAGGTGGTGTAGCCCTCCCTTCAACACACATGGGCACACCCATCCTGAACCTCTCTGGCAACAGGAACCTCTCTGAATGCCAGCCAGAGTGTGGGGGAATCTGCTGGGAAGAACACACTGCTTCCCCCAAGTCTACACACCCACTGTGAAGAGCAGATGTTATTTAGGATTCCTTTCCTCATCCTGACTTCTTTCTCCTGCTGGGATAGCTCTTGTTCTGTTGTGAGTAAAAAGCCTGCACTGGTAGGAGTGTCCAGCTGTTGGCCACATGCAGCCCCGGAGGGCTAAGAATGCAGCCCAACACAACATTATAAACACTGTGAGGATATTTTTTGTGACTTTTTAAAAACTTGATTGCACTGTTTTTGAGTATGATGTAGATGACAGTAGTATCATGCTGCAATGTTAAAAGGTTGGACACCCCTGACAGCATGCATGTTTTTCATGGATTGGGTTATCTGGGCACATGCTCATCATCTTGTGTTAATCTTACCTTCCCACTTGTGGATTGACCACTAACCATGCTCACTAAAGGCAGTTTCCCCAAGAGGCAGAGAAACCCAAGTGGTAAGTCTGTACTGACACAAATTCCCATGGAAGAGAGAGTCTTTCTCCACTGTGATGGGCCAGTTGATTTCTCTATTGTCTATGGCCATGAAAGACCTTACTTATTAGGGTCTCTTCTCCTCAAAGTCATTGTTTCTTTAATCTCCACATTGGAAGTTTTCACTGGGGCTGAAGAGATGCCTCAATGGTTAAGAATGTTTGATGCTCTTCTAGATGACCCTGATTCAATTCCCAGAACCCATATGACAGCTCAAAACCATCTGTAACCCTAGTTCTAGGAGATCTGATGCCTTTTTCTAGCCCCCAGAATCATACACATGGTAAACAGAAATATATCCTGGCAAATGGTCATATATATATATATATATATATATATATATATATATATATATATAATAAAAATATTTTTTTAAAGATGGCCATTATTATAAAGAATGAAGGCAGCCCCCCTCCCAATAAACCTACCTAGTAATAAGCACTGGAGACTCAGAGTAGCAAAAGTGAGGCAGTTTATTTCACAACCCTGCAAAGTTGGGTGACTCTAATAGAGATACACTGGCGAGATCTTGCAGAGGAGGACAAAAAAAGTTCTTAAATACTTGAACACAGGACCCTCCATCATGTTTCTCATTGTCTGAGCAATCACTAGCGTGCAATCATATCATTGCCTGCCCCTTGCATTGTCTATTTCTCCACAAAGTCACGTGGGTTTATCTCTATGTTTTACAACCTATTTATTTTAAAGCTTGTTAGAGGCATGAACTTGCCATGTCTGCAGGTTGTTAGGCACACTTGGTCATTAGTAGTTTTTTTAATCTAGGCAGGATCCCCGGTTGTGGGTTCAGTCTCCATGAATCCCTATGAGCCCAAGTTAGTTGATTCTGTGGGTTTCTTGTTGTGTCCTTGACCCCTCTTGCTTACAATCCATCCTCCCCCTCTTGAGATCTCCCTGAGTTTGGTTTAATGTTTGGCCCTCTGAATAGTTGTGTAGCTTGGTGTTCGTGTGGGTTCCTAACAGTGGGAGCAGAGGCTGTCTCTGACTCTTTTACTGGTTTTGGGGACCCTTTCCTTCTTTTGGGTTGCCTCATCCAGCCTTGATAGAAGAGGAGGTGCCTAGTCTCACTGCAGCTTGATATAATATGGCTGATTGACATCAATTTGAGGCCTACTCTTTCCTGAAGAGGACTAGATGGGGGTGGGGTAGGGGAAGGTACTGGGGAGGAAGGAGGTTAAACTGGGGTTTGGGATGTAAAAAAAAAAAATATGTAGATAGAGTAAAATAATTTTTTACTCTAATTTCTAGGGTAGGTAGGAGTGTCTAGACTAGCAAACATTAGTGGGGCCTGGTGCCTCCATCCATAGCTAGACCTAAGTGGACTCAAAGCACTTTGAAAAGCAACCATTAGGCTTTATTTCCTTCACTGTGACAGACAGGGTGGATCTGCAAGCCAACACAAGTGTGCAGGGTCTGATAAAGATCAAACTCTATTTCTGACTCCCTTTAAGTTAGAGCTTTGTTGATTGAAGCTTGGATATGGGACCAAGTCATATACAAAAGGGTGCAGGGCAAAAGGCATCTGTTGTCTGTGTGGGCTACTCCATTGGCTGTAAGGTCCTGGATTCGCCGGGTCTAGCAATGGCTTCTCAGTTCAGTGGGCAGCTTTCTGACCCAGAAGCAAACACAGTCATTTCTGGGGTCAGTCTAAACTCCTTAGCCAGCTGCCTTGGTAAGCCTGCTGATATAATCCTATGCAAAGCTATGACTTTTCGTACCTTATTTACCTGATTATGGGGGCAAAATGTTGCAATTTTACTCTTGTCTTTAAGACAGATTTTTCTCTAATGCTAGCTTTGAACTATCCTGTTTTCTTTATCATTTTTTCCATACAAAGGTGGATGAGTTTGTACTGAGCTTTCTTCTATAATTACATTGGAAGTTTTCCCTGGAATGACATTGATGTGTCCAATACTAAAAGTGACTTTTTCTGGGCATGGTATGTACCTGTAATCCCAACACTTAGGAGGGAGAGACAGAAGGATAAGGAGTTCAAGCTTACTCTCAGCTACTTACCACTTCAAATAACACATTTGAGGCCAGTCTGGGAAAGTGTGGCCTGTTTCAAAGAAAAATGTTTTAAGTGTTTCCATTGTTGTTGATGCAGTTAATTCAACAGTTTAGTGCATCAGTTCATGGAATTCATATATTATCTCTCCATTAATAAGCATATAATATGCAATGTGTGTACCAAAGCTCATAAAAAGCATACCAAAGACTAGGGAAAACATTGTATTATTCGTCAGCATCACTACTGTTACTTGATTTTCATCCAAAATCCATGCAGTGTATCTATGTCACACCTAGCATACTTCTTCACATCTGGGAGTTAACTAGATCACTGTTGTTGGGATTTTATCACTGAAGTGTCATGTTATAACCCTTCCTCCTTTGGCTCATTTTCTGATAAGCTTATGTTGGCCCTAGATTTTGCTGTAGTTTTGCAATGAGAAAATGGGTTTAAACATCTCAGGTATCCAAGGTGCCGGCTACAATGGCACTCATTTAAATGGCTAAGACTTTGCTGAAGAGTTACTGAATTAGAATGTTCTTGAAAAGCCCACTTGTAACACTGTGTTTTGGTTTCTCATATAGACATAGCTTCATGAGCAATAGGAAAAGCAAATTCCAAGCCTGAGTGGAGAGTGTGTTCTCATTTTGCTGGTTCTACGAGACAGCCCTACTGTGTGCTGGCTGCCAAAGGCCAGGCTGACTCTTCGTGAGCCAAAGAAGCAGGGAGGAAGCATTTTAGAAGGAACAACAAACACACCACCTTAAATTCAGAACTTTAAAAAAAAAAAAGACTCTCTTTATTGAGGGCAGGGCAGCAGGATGCAAGCAATATAAAAACCCAAAGCTTCTTTGTCACTGAATTAATTTTTCTTTCTCTGCTTGTCGAATTGGAGTTGGATGTTATTTGCACATTTCCTGAGGGTCCTGATCTGCTCCTCAGGAGCAGTGAGGCAGGTTCCTCAAGGGACCCTGTGGGAAGGAGGACCAGGGCTCCGTGTGGCTTACTTCTTCCCCTTCTGCTTCATGTGTACTACAAAATAGTCATTGCATGCAATGATGAGCCCTGCAACCAGCGACAGAAAGCTCTGGAAGCCCACTTTGCCATCTCTACACTGGTCCAGGTCCTTCATTATTTTGTCCACAGCCAGGGGGTCCTTTTGATTCTAAAGTAAATAAATAGACAGAATAAAAAAAGAAGGAATGCACAAAGGAAAACAATGTCAATTAATGATGTAGACAACTATAGCTTATCTGATCCAAACAACCATGTGCATAAGCTTATTCTCTCAAGTATTTACACTCTTGTCTTAGGTCCATTTAACTCATCAGCATGGCTTCTTTTTTGGGGGGAGAGGGGAAATCCCCTTTCAGGAATGTCATATTTAGATTGTGCCTAAGAACCAACATTACTATTTTCTACTTCAGACTTTAAAAAAAATAATTCATTCCTGATAGCATGGTCCTTAAACAGGGAACTCTCCATGAAGAAACTGCCTCAGGTTACTCTAGGAGTAATTTTCAGGTCACTGTTGTGTCTGTTCTAAGCAGGTGCTAATGAAGACACGGGGCTTTAGCTTTAGAGCAGACACAGAAACCTCTTTTTTTCCTTCCCACAGCTGGGACCCAGCAAGTGTGCGTCGTATCTATCATATTAGCTGTGTAGCCGGAGTCCATCACACAGTTTAGTTTGTCTTCACATATCAACGACGAATAGATGAGTTTGGATGTGAGTGCCCTCTTTAGGATGCTTTCCACTCCTCATGGACTGAAACCAGGGCCTCTGCATGCTAGTTACATGCCCCCGGCCCTCTTTCCATTCTTCGAGTTGGTAAACCCATGCCATCATATTCTTGTCATTGGTATTCTTGTCCTTGAATGTTATACATTGGACAAGTTTCAAAACAAGTGTGTGTGGCAGGGAGGATAACTCAGTTGACAAGGTGCCAGCATGAGAGCCTGAGTTTGGATCCAAAGCACCCACACAAAAGCTGGTGCAACAATGCACTCCTGGGATCCCCACAACAGGCAGACAGAAACAGAAAGGTGCATGAGGCTTGCTGGCCAGCCAGTCTAGCCACGTTGACCAGGTCCAGGTTCAGTGAGAGACTTTATTTCAAAAAAATGTGATTGGCCTGTGAGATAGTTCAGTGGGTAAGGCTACTTTTTGCTATGTTTGGTGATCTAAGCTAGATCCCTGTAGCCCACATGAAGGAAAGAGATGGTACTTTTCCAAGTTTTTGTCTGACCTCCACATGCTTGCTATGGTACACACACAAAATAAAGAAATGTTAAAATAAATAAAAGCAGAGAGTGATTGAGATACGATAACTAATATCAAACTTTGGTCTTTACACCCACACTCAAATGAATTTGTATGACAGGATCATAAACTCCTTCATGCATAGCCTGAATGCGTGGGGCAGGGAAAGGCTAGGCAGATGCCTTGACTTTTATCTTGTTTCAGTGGTGCTTAGCTTGATTATCTCTTTTGCTGCCATACTGATTAAAAATGCAAAAGTGTGGTTACTCCTATAGGCCCCTGTTATCTCAGAGAGGGAAATAACCTCTAATGCAGCAGAGGTGGTTAAAGGGCACAAAGTACTTACAAATTCCAATGCCTGCATAATTCATGGGGGAGCTGACCTCCAATATTTTAAGTGTGCTAGATACTTGCAAATTGCACTTAAAGATCTTTATGGTAAAGGAGTCATATTGTCTAATGGTAGGGTAGGACTGCAAACTCCTACCCTAAACTATCAGCTGAAACCTGCTCTATGTAGTTAATTCTGGCCTCACCCCCTGCTTCCTGGCTGTGGTCAGAATGAGTGAAATTTGGATGACATAAGCCATCTACTTTAGAAACAAAATGCAGGGGGTATGTGTCTAGATTTATGACCCTGTCTGTGCCTGTAATAAGCTATTCTGCTGTGTTTAGCACACCCCATTGCAAATATTCTTTATGTTTCTCATGTCACAAAGCCTTGAGCATGAAAGGCTCTGTGTTGAGAATGCCTCTGTAGATGTGATGGGCTGGCCTACAATGAACACATTTTGTTCTTGCACTTTATGCTTGTCTAGAAGATCATAGCAAGTTAAAAGTGGACATGCAGATAATTGTGTTCAGCGCTCTCAATTTGGAGAGGAGGGATCCAGGATTAGAGAGTGGAACCAACTCTATTGTTAGCCCACAGCTAGATCTTCTGAGCTCTTGCCTGGGACTGCATCACAGTGCTTTATGCCAACAGAGGAACTGTACATTCCAGCTCACTGACAGCACTGGGGTGACTGCAGCTCGGGAGTGGTCAGGCCACTTATTTAACCAATGATGACGATGTGTAAAAACAGTCTTCTCCAAAGCACTGTGTTTATTAGTGTAAGAGCCAGGGCCTTGGATAATGTGATATTTATCAGGTAGATGTCAAGAGGCTAGATCCAGCCTTTTACCATCATTTCCCTTTACCTTTCAGAAACTAATGCATTATTAAACACCCAGTACAAGAATCATCCTCTCTTTTCAGGAAAAGATGGGATTGTGTCAAGCAACGTTTTGTCTCAGGTGACATTAAATTCAACAGCTGTCTCTTAAGAACCCGCAAAGTCAAAAGACAACTATGCCTAGTTGACGTATTGTCTTAAATGGCATATCTGAGGAGTCCTGGTCTTCAGGGACTATTCAGTCTGACCATGCTTCTAGGCTCCTAAGTTGACATTTTCACTGTATAAGGCAATTATTTCTGGAGTGGCATTTCCCCCTGATTCAGCCAACAATTAACATGATCTCTTTATGGGTTGGAGCTGGAAAAAGAAGAAAAATCTTTTTGTGACTAGGGTTTTAAGAAGATTTAAGTAAAGGGAAGTTTCCAGTAGAACCCTGGCTTCACATGAATGGGACCCTAGGGTCAACATGCAGCTCACACCCACACACAAAAGAGATTCAAGTTGTTCAAGTGGCATATGAAAAGAATGTGGAACTGCTATCATTAGTATTAGAGACCAGAGGTGTGGCACCCCCTGCTCCTTGACAGACACCCTTCTGACAAATCTTTTCCCTCCGGTTGTTCCAGTGGGTGTGGATATTTTCATCTGCATATTGAGGTGGAGTCTTTTCCACTTTGCTGCCACTGTGCTATCCTAGCACTGTCTACTAAATAAACGAATGAAACACTTCCAAGTAGAGAGCCTACAGGGATGGGAGCACAGGAAGGACAAGGTAAAGATTTTTATGTCTGGTTCTGAGACTCTCCACACTTACTTCCAAAAACCCAGGGAACTCCCTTTCCATGAGCACTCTGAGGTCCTCCTTTGTTAAGTAGTCTTTGTCCCCAGCAAATCTGTGAAATGTAAGCATCATGGTTTCCATGGCATGCTCCATCTGAGACGGCATCTCGAAGAGGTCTGTTGAAACCTGTTAAAGGACGAAAAGAAAAAGGGTTTGTCTTAACCTTTAAATTATATGCTGAAAGTCTATAGACGGTGATTGGAAAGAATAAAATAGGTATAATCACCTTTCCAACAAAATTCAATCAATCTCAGGCCCTGTTTGAGGTCTTTTGCTGGTGGCAATAGACACTTCAGGTATTGGACCTTAGAATGTAGGATTTGCCTGGCTGTCAGCTACTCTGCATGGTTCCTAATCAAGATGAGAAGGTCTAACTTTCTGGAAAAGCAAGACAAGGGCTGCCCCTTGTCTGGAAAACGCTGGGTGAAAGATGATGTTTCCTTATTTCCCTTGGCACTGAAAATGCGACTCTCAGAAATGGCTGAAATCCAACAAGCCATGAGTCCAGCCTGGATAACACAGAAACTCCATCCTGTCACGCATGGCATAGGAACCTGGACCAACCCAATTTCAGAGATTAGAAATGTGCTTACAGATGGATGTGTCTGCTGGAAATGTATACTCTGCTAACCCTCTGAACTTGTCCTCTGGCAGTCAGTGCAGCTGCCCTGCCTGAGGACAAGCTTCATAAATTCATTATCACGTTCAGCAGGGAAGGAACAGGTAAGAGGGTGTACAGGCTCCTTTGGGAGCTGGATATGTTTTTGGTAAGACTACACACTGTTTTCCTCATGAGCTGGGATACAGTGAGAGAGCAAGGCCCTTTCCTAATGAGGAGTTTAAAGAGAGGAAAGGAATTGTTAGGTCACTGCATGTTGGTATAATGAACCAGGGCAAATGTTCAGTCAAGACCGCCTAATGGAGCTCAGTGTCCATATATAGTTTTGAGTACAGACGGAGGGAGAGGTTGGTGGCTTCTCCTACTGAAGAGCAACCATTCCTGCTGCTGACAGATGCCTGTTCAGTACAGATCCCCTAGAACCTCACTCGAGTCATGCCCATCTCCTATCACGGAACTACATCCCCCGGCTCTCTTTTCACTTTTTATTTTGAGACAGGGTGGCACTAAGTTGCCCAGGATGGTCTTAACTTGAGATCCTCGTGCCTCTGCCTCCCGAGTAGCTGGTATTACAGGTCTGAGCCAATAGGCCTGGCTTCTAAGTATTATCTTTTACAAAAATCAAAGTTGTAGTGTGGAAGGCTAGCGTTGAAAAGTTAGATTTAAGGATTGTAACTTTTTCCTCTTCATCTCCAAGAAAGTAGACGAACCAGCAACAGAAAATGTCACTTCTGAGAACACTGTCAATCAAGATCTGGCATGATTCATGCAGCTTGAATAGCAACAAGTTTACACTTCAAGGTGTCTAATGCCATGAAATTCAGAAGAGCCACTCCTTTTTTCCTCTCGCCATATACTGTTCAGATCTGCCCCACCTCCTCACTCCCAGAAAGCTTAGCTGGAGTCTGCCTTGCCTGGATTGATGCTGCCTCAGCCCTTCAACAATCCAGGAAAGGAGCCAGGCACAAGGGAAGTTTAAAATGTCCATCCCCACAAGAGCTCTCTGACCTTGCCTGAAGGCAAAGATTCCAAATGACATCCCAGATGTTAGAACTGGGTGGACACCCATTGTACTTTCCTCACAGGCATCAGGAAAGTGTATTGCAGAGCCAGAGAAGGAAGAGGAATGGGCAGGATAGGGATCCCCCAAATAGAAAAACAGGTCAAATTAATTCTCCCCGGAAATGCGAGTTGATAGCCAAGGAGGTTCCAGCCTCATTTGAGCATTCTATTCTCTTCAGGAGGGTGAGGTCAAGCTGCCTTAGCCAAGAGCAGGTGCTCAGGTCTGAGGTCGGTCTACTCCTTCCTTCCTTCCTTACCCAGCTGGTTATGAAATGGCAGAGTCCCTCCCTGAAGCTCCATGTCTGCCCTTTGGTCCTTCCTTCCTTCCTGTCTCCCCTAGCTGTTTTGTTCCGCACACCAGTGAACTAAGTGGCTCTCTGCTTGTTCAAGAGACCTGCAGTAAGAGTACAGAGATAGGAGCTGGCCAGAAAGGGAAAATAGTTGAATTTCACAGGAGATACCAGAGGGCTACAAACAAGGAATTGTTCTGGAGAAAGTTTTAAAATAAGGCAAAGGATCCAGGTGTGGTAGGAGCAGTCCCAAGAATTATGAACCCAGCACTAAGGGGTGTGATGGAGCTAAACAGGAAAAATAGCCTTCTAGGCCAGTCTTGGCTATATAGACCCTGCCTCAAGAATCAAAACAACAAATCAAAAAAGTGAGACAAAGGAGAATGTGATAATGCTGCTCCATTGGATGAATGAACCATACAGTCCTTCTCCGGTGAAGTGGTCCCAACCTCACCACCACTGTTTGGGTGGGGCTCGTATTACAAAGCTTACTACAGACAGCTCCATAATCATTTACTAGAGTGCGAGCTTTTCAGGAACCTGAATCTGGCACCTCCATGCCACCGAACAACCCACAGACTCCACTCCGGATGGGCTGAGTCTTCCCCTTCTACTTGGGTAATACTTTGTCACAAGGGCCTTGGGACTCAGACTGAGAAGTAGGGGACTCTGTTCTGTGACCCTGACACTCCATCCCATACCTGGTATGCACAATCTGATGGCAACCCAATCTGCCTTGGCCCTACAGCTGCCTTGGTCCAGAACCACATATTACTCTGCTTCAATTGAGAGATGGCTAAATACCATTTGTTAAATGGATGGTTCAAAGTAGCTGAGACACAGATAAGAGTTTCCTTAGACAGCTGATAGCTTTGCAGCTCAGAGTTCAGCAGCTAGAGGAGATGAGTTCTGGGAAGGGCGGGGAAAGGGGCCTGAACAGGGTTCACCTATGAATGGCATGGCAGGGTACAGAGAGCACATTCCAAACACAAGGGAAAGAAAAAAATGTGTGTCCTGCTAAGCAGGTCTGGTCAGAGGCCACGCTTCTCACTCCTGCTCTTTTTCTTGTTTTCATTTCTCACTCTTCCCACTGCCTCACTGGCTCCCAGGACAGACCTCTTTCCTTGAACCGTTTTATGTGTTTATGCCCTTCACATGTTAGCTTGAGCAATGGGTCTCAACTGTCTCTCTCTGCAGAAAACAAGTAGGGTTTTTTGTTTCTCTTACACACCTCACTTATGAGGATAGGCACCAACAATGCTGTCATTCTGTCCATTGGTCTTTCTGGGAGGGGCAGAAGGCAGGAAGGAGTCCCTCTTCCTGAGCCCTGAACAATCCCAAATGTCTGTCCTGGACCTATGCCTGGGTCTAGGCTATAAATCTCAGAGGCTGGAGGCCTGATTTACTTTATTCATCTGTATTTTACCTAAATTATACTTTTCTTGAAGCCACCCAGAATTAATTAGGGTGTGAGTGAATATAAACATTCATTATTTTAAAACATTTAGAGTTTCTGTTCTTTTGTTTAAAGAAATTTGAAGAATCCATCTTTCCTTCCTTCTTTCTTTCTTTTCCTTTTTTAATTGAACCCAGAGGATGTTCTTGAATCTGACCCTTAAAGTATGATTGGAAAAGGAGTGAGTTTAAAATAATGTATTTTGGCTCAGGTTCTCTCACCAAATAAAACTTGCTTACTACAGACATGACATGCAAAAGAAAGTTCCAGATGCAATTCAATAGGAAGAAAGAACTGAGAAACCTACTCTAACCCAACCAAGAACACTCATTTTTCTGTGAGGCACAGTCATGATTCAGCCAAAACCAAACAACAATAGCTACAGTGACATGTGGGAATTATTTAGTTGAAGGGGTAGAAAGTCCTGAATATTGTCTTTGAAATGAAATCCACCCTTCCTCTACTCACTCCCTCCTTCTGTCCTTCCTCCTTCCCTCCCTCCTTCCTTTCCCACTTCTTTCTCCCTCCTTCCCTCCCCGACCCCCTTCCTGGAGAACTAGAGCCTCACACAGGCTCTAAGCATTTTGCTTCCTTTTGCTTTTGATGTATGATTCCTAAGTTGCCGATCCTGAGAAATTTGGAGACTTAAGGCACAGCCCATACTTCAGTCCAACTTTTCCCAGCACTGTGAACATTAATTTATATTTTATAATTCTGAAAGAATCCCATTGTTTTCTTTAGCTATGCATAAATGTATGGACTGTGTCCAAGGAATCTCAGCTTAGTGCTCAAAAAATATCTCTCTCTTGAGCTGTCAGTTGAAAGCAGGGAGGCATCCTGCTTCAGCCCCACCCAGCCCAGGGCCTGACCACACTGGAGTGACGAGGCTGGCCAGAGGCCAAGCATAAGAGGACAAGGGCCCATCTCATGTTGTGTCCAGGAAGACAGGGAACAGATCACCCAGACATCAAAGTGAACCCAAATATCTGCTCTGTGCCAAGCAGACCAAAACGCCCTGAAATGTAATCTCTGAGTGCTGGATCAAAGGCCACCATCAAGAAAGACCCCTTTAGCTGTCAGGAGCATCTATGCCATGTAGAAAGGATGATTAAACGACATTGCTAGGAATCTGTGGGGAGGACTGGAGTAATGAGGTCTTGGTGAGTTTCATGAACTTGTCCATGTTCCAGCCCCTGGCACTCCCGTTTGCATTGCAATTTGCTGAAACACATTGAAGGACAAGCTCTCTGCTGGGCGTTTCCACCGTGATTGAAGTCTAAGAGGTAAAAATCCACTCCTGGAAGCTGAAATGCAAGCTTCAGGGGGGAAAACATGCTGCAAACCTCTTAAGCAGAGAAGCAAATCCCAGTGAATCTGAGGCCTGCTGATCAACGGTCTTGTCACCGTCCTGGGAGTCTAATTACTACCCTCCCAGGCAGCTCAGTCAAGAAGCCCCTCCTTCAGGTTGGTGGCCAGTTGAGTGTGACTCATTTCCCCTTGGAAACTGCCCTGGAAGATGGCACAGTTCCTCTTTTCCTTCAGGGAGCATTCTGTCCAAACCATCCAGAGTATCAACCAGCAGGCCGCACCCATGCTCTCACAGCTGAGTCACAGGCCTCAGATCACTAAGAGAATCCTGTAACTCTGAGCTAACCCCACCCTGCAGAGTCTAGCTTCCCTAGGGTGGGAGTGGGAGAATGAAGGGAGGTGGGTTAGTGGGTTT